TTTCAACCAAACTTTATAACCCAGAATCAAGAGTAAGAATAAAACATACCTATCCAAGGGATAATGTTTAGGTTATAAAGAAAATTATAAGCTCTTAAAAGAAGAAGGCTTAGAAAGAAACCACTTTCTCCACAATTATAGCAGTGCTACTTTACCTACTTGTACTCTGAATGTATTTTGGTTCCTTATTTTAAGATTCAGAAAGTGTTAGCACATCAATAGTAAACTTCATGTACTAGTTTTCTTAGGAATGACCGCCCTCAAAAATACATATGGCAAATGAGCCAAAATAAAGAAAAAAATCTTTCCTATTTTAAGAATTTTTCAAAAATTAAGAATAAATAAAATCTGCATCAACTGTTTTTAGGCTCTAAATGTAATTCTGTTTAAAACAAGCCAATCTAACACCAAGGTGCCTTATCTTTGGCCTTGGGCCAGGGGGCAGGAACAGAGAGGGCCACCAGGACAAGTGTTATTGGTCAGACAGCCCAGTGCAGGGACTTCAAATTCACCTACATTTGGTCTAGGGCTTTGGCGGGAGGGGAGGGGGGGAAGGTGGCACAAAACAGCTCAGGGAAGGCCAAGAGCTGAGGCAGTGTAATGTACATTTCACCAGAATAAGGGACCTAACACCTTGGACTCTGAAAGTAAACAGACCCTGAACCTGGTGCACCTCACAGACACACCCATCTGCATCAGGGCATTTAACTCATGTGGCAACTGTTTGCTGGCTTCTGTTTCCACACTAAGGGAAGAGTGTTTAGTCCATCCCAACAGCCTTAGTTAAGGGTAAGTGTAATATACCACACATGTAATATGAACGAGCAACAACAAAGGCAGCACACAGTAAGCAAACTGATGGCACTGTCTTTTCCTTGGTTCCATATTCTGTCTCAAGAGCCTTTCATCCTATGACTGGGAGGCTCATTTTTTTTTTTTTTAATCTATAATAATAAAAGGGTGATATGCTAATTAGACTGGATGTCCTTCGGACAAAGCTGGGGCTGGAGTGAAGCCACCTGGGTCCTGGGTGCCGACCAGCGGCCGGAGGAAGCTCCCCGGGGCCTGGAGGGAAGCCGGTGCCAGCAGCCAGGAAAGGAAGGCCTACTCTTGCATGAATTTTCGTGCACCGGGCCTCTAGTATTTATATAATGTGAGCCACTTAACCTCTTTGGATCTAAGTTGTTTCTTCTATAAAAGGAAGAAGTTAAGGCTAAATAATTCTTAAAAGTCCTTTCATCTCAATAACTCCATGACTGTATGATGGCACTATATTCTAGTAATAAAGACATGTCAACGGTTGCTGAGTGTTTCTATGTGGTCAATAAATCTGAAACCAAAGTTGTTTACTGCTCTGCTAGTCAACTGCCACATACAAAAAACAATCCACAAAACATTATTTTTGAAAATACATTTAAGTGCTTAACAAGTTTTAATAAAATGTAAAAGATAAAATAAAATAGTATTTGCTTTACACAACCCAGACTTGGCTTTGATCAAGTATGGCTAGGATTTATATATCTGGGAAAATATATTTTCTTTCTCACTTAACTTTGTGATGGCTTCATTTTATTATTAAGAACAGAGGCTCAAAAAAGTTAATCACCTGATCAAAGAAAGAGAATGGCATAAAGGTGATGCCAAAAATATGAACTTGTATCTTTACACCCAAACTTTCTATTTTTTCCCCTCCCTTGAGGATATGGGTATTGATTTCAGAGAGGGAGAGAGAAACTGGGATGTGAGAAACATCAATCCTTGCTTCCCATTCTCATCGCGACCGCAGATGGAGCAAACACGTTCCGGTGGATGGAAGGACGCTCCACCCGAACCACGGGGCCAGGGCTTCACTCCCAAACTTTCCGTTTCCTTTTTGGGTGTCAGCACCTCCACTCTGCTAATTGCCTAGGTTCTAGACTCTAAGTCCACCTACACTGTTAACTTCTAAAATACTTAAGAACTGTTATAACCCTATGATGAGAATAGTAAAAAGATGACTCAAATGAGGTATGACAGATTCTAAAATGAAACTGCCAATTCTGTCAGCTGGCTCCAATAAACAAGAAAAGAGGTTAAGTAATGACATTAGGAAGTGTCTGAAATAATTCACATTTTTAAATGATATGCCTAAAAAGATGGAAGGTGATGCTAACCCAGAATGAAAAGACTGCCATTCATCTGTTTAAGACCAGTGAAAAGGAGGCTACAATTAAAAACAAAAACTAGTGAAGTAGCAACAACCAGAAGCTGGACTTAAGAATGTTTAGGCATCGTGATAGTTTCATTTTAAGCATCAACTTGGCGAGGCTTTGTGCCCAGATATTTGGTCAAACACCAGTCTAGATGTTGCTGTGGAAGTATTGTGTAAATGCAATTTAATTAACATTCACAATTAGTTAACATTAAGTAAAGATTTCCTTCCGTAACGTGGGTGGGCCACATCCAATCAGAACAAAAACAGGTTTCCCTGGGAAGAAGGAATTCTGTGTCACGACAGGAACAGAAAGCCTACCCGAGTTCCAGCCTGCTGACCTATCCTATAGATTTCAGACTCAGGACTGTAACATCAACTCTCTTGTCTGAGGTTCTAGCCTGCTGGCCAGTCCTGTGCAGATTTTGGATTTGGACTTGCCAGCTCCTCCAATCAAGTGAGTCAATTTCTTAAAATAAATCAATCCCCACCCCCCCCCCCCGCCCCTCTCTCTCTCTCACACACACACATACAACCATATGATTCAACCATTCCACTTCTAGGAATTTACCCAAGAGAAATGAGGGCATATGTCCATACATAGGCATGTATTAGTAGCAGCTTTCTTTCTTTCTAAAAATATATTTTTAAAAATATTTTTATTAATTTCAGTGAGGAAGGGAGAGGGTGAGAGAGATAGAAACATCAATGATGAGAGAGAATCATTGATTGGCTCCCTCCTGCATGCCCCCTACTGGGGATCGAGCCTATAATCTGGGCACATGCCCTTGACCAGAATCGAACCTGGGACCCTTCAGTCTCCATGGCCGACACTCTATCCACTGAGCCAAAACAGCTAGGGCTAAAAATATTTTTTTAATTGATTTTTAAAGAGAGAGGAAGGGAGAGACAAATAGAAACATCCATAAGAGAGAAATATCATCAATCTGCTGCCTCCTGCACGACCCCTAATGGGGACTGAACTTGCAACCTGAGCATGTGTCCTGACTGGGAATCAAACTGGTGATCTCTTGGTTCCTGGTCAATGCTCAACCACTGAGTCACACTAGCTGGGCAACAGCAGCTTTATTTCTAAACGCCAAACACTAGAAACAACCCAGCGTCTATCAAGAGGTGAAAGAATATACAAACTATAGCATGTCTGCAAAATGGAAAAACACTTAGCAATAAAAAGAAATGATTGACGCACACTACAAGATGGCTACATCTTAAAATAATCATCCTGGATGAAAAGAAGCTAGGCTAAAAATGACTGTTTAATGTATCCAGGACATGCCAACCAATGTAAAGAAAACAAGTAGTGGTTGCCTGGGGAATAAAGGGAGGCAGGGGATTACTGAGAGATTAGAAAACTTTTGGGGGTCACAAATGCATTCAATATCTTGACTATGGTGATGGTTTTATGTGTATAAACATATGTCAAAGCTTATAATGTTGTACACTTTCAATATGTGCAGTTTAAGTATAATAATTATATCTCAATACAGTTGTTTTTAAAAAGTTGTGCCCCGGTCAGTGTGCTCATGGTTAGAGTGTCCGTCTGTGCACAAAAGGATCATGGTTTTAATTCCCAGTCAAAGGCATATACCTGGGTTGCAGATTCGTTTCCCAGAATGCGTGCAGGAGGCAACCAATAGATATGCCTCTCTCACATAAATAATTCTCTCCTCAGCCCCCAGTTTCCACTCTCTCTAAAAAGCAGTGGGAGCCAAAACCGGTTTGGCTCAATGGATAGAGCGTTGGCTTGGGGACTGAAGGGTCCCGGGTTCGATTCCAGTCAAGGGCATGTACTTTGGTTGCCGGCATATCCCCAGTAGGGGGTGTGCAAGAGGCAGCTGATCGATGACTCTCTCTCATCGATGTTTCTAACTCTATCTCTCTCCCTTCCTCTCTGTACAAAATCAATAAAATATATTAAAAAACAAAACAAAACAAACAAACAAAAAAAACCACTCTGTAACTTTCTGGCCCACCTGCCCCTAAACATGTGTGCTCTCCAGGGTACTCTAGTCTCAGTTCACAGCAGGGCTCCCCTTCCAGGAGACTCATGATTGCCTTGGGTAATTTGATGAGTTTTGACCCAGGTCCCTGTGTATTTATATAGACTTACATGTAATTACTTCCCAGGTTTCCAGAGCGCCCTGAGCCTTGGCCCTGTACTCCTCAGCTTCTCAGGTAAGGGGATTTCTTACAGAATCCTCCCCTGGGTTTGTCTCTAAACCCCCTGCAGAGTGAGTGAGGGGATGGCACACTATGGCAAGGAGAAATTCGAATGCCCACAAATAAAACTCACATGGAATCTAGGATCACATAATAGTTTTCTAGATATGTTGGCAAAATAATTCAACTAGACAGATTCTTAGGTTACCTAGTAAGTGTTGATTAATAGATTTATGAAGGAAGTTTCTGATGGCTATACTGTAGAAGACCATTCTCTTAAACATTTGCAAACATTTGCTTCACAAAAGGACATACAAAGCATGCTTATCAAATTTTGGAGATAAGTTGTGACAGTAAGTAGCTGGAACACATCTATGAATTCAGCCTAGGGGTAAGTAAGGTGAAGGTCAGGAAACATCCTCAAATTCAATAACCTTTCATATGTATACTTGATTCTTTCTCAACTACCAATAACTGGATGGCAAGCTCCTTGAACACAAGTCTTATTGATCTTCCGAGAGCACCTGCAATATTGTCAGAATACACTCTGCCAGGCCACATAACTCCATGGTAATGAATGGCTCTAATATCACAGTGCCTACAACACAAGCGTTGGTTTCTCACTTACATAAAATGTCTATTGTGAATCAGCTTCAGCGAGGCACCGACATCCAGGGACCCAGTCGGATGGCTCTGCCGTCCTGGGACCAGCCCTCACCAAAGCATGCTGGTTCTATGGGAGAAAGAAAAGACCACCAGCAGAAACATAAGATAGAGTTTGAAACATCTGCTCAAATGTCCCACATGTCTCTTACTCTAACATTTTCACTGGTCAAGGAAAACCAAGTGTCCAAACCTGGTGTCAACGGAGTGGGAAATATAGTCCTCCTGCAGAGAGGACCCTGGTCGAGAGGTGCAATAGACATTTTGAGCAATACTACAATTTACCACACAGCCTTCCCCATAGAACGTGCTCAGGGCCTGGAGGTAATATTTACATGCCAGGCCATAAACACCGAAGGGCAGGGACTGTAATCTGTCTTGTTCACTGGATGTACCAGCCACAGAGTGCTGGGCACACAGCAAAGGACAAACTGAATGCTTACACGGTGAGCAGTAATGAGATGAGCATGGGTTCTGGAATCACAGGCCTGGGATGAAGTGTTATGTCTGCCAATTCCTGACTTAGTGGAAAGTAATTTTTCTCTTCTGACTGTTGGATAGTTGTTGCAAAGATTAAATAAAAATATTTGTGAAAGCCCCGTGAAAACTTTGCTTTAGCTCTTTATCTTCAGATAGATAGTCCAATGGGATGACATTTGATAAAAACAAATTCATTTCAACTTTCATATAATGCAATACATAATATCTGGCATTTACTTTAAAAGCATTAACTGGCAAGGATAAGAAAGATTATATTTAAAGCAGTTCACAGGAAAAAAAACAACAAGGTTTTAGTTGACCATAGCTCAATATGATCAAAGGGTAATGTGGCTGCCAAAAAATGTTAATGTACATTTCAGGCTGCATGAATAGAAGCACAGTATCCAGTTAATAGCTTCATTGTCTTCAGCAATTGTTCAGCCATACCGGAAGTAGTCAGTTCAGCTCTGGCTACCATGTTTTAAGAGGTATAGTGACAAACAGACTTTGTCATGAGTTTAGTGATGTGGATGGAGAAAGGTCTGAAAACCATGTCATGTGCATATGGTTTGAGAATTAGGGCTTCCCCCCTAGGCGCATCAAAAAAGACTTAAGCAGGATTTAACAGTCATTCTCAGATACTTTAAAAGTTACTGTTTGTAAGAAGACTAACTTTCACATGCAGAGACTTAGATTGCCAAGAACCAGGAAGTGAAAGTTAGGGAAACAGATCTAGCTAAGAGAGAAGTTATTTCTAACTGGAAACATTCTAAAACAAGAAGGGTGGATGACAACATGATAGAGATGGATGTGGGAGGACCAAATCTAACTTACTCCTCTATTAACTGAGCATTTTTTGAGGCATTTGAAAATGTCCAAATGGTATTTTTCCCCCTGATTAAATAATATTAATACTAGAAACAAGAACTGCAGTAAAAAGTAAAACAAGGAGGTATTTGGCTTAACAGGCACCGAAAGTCATGCTGGTGAAGGGAAATGAAATTTCCAGCTGGATAACATTAGATATATAGCCAGCGTTGTGGTTTGCACGGAGGAAACAGGCTTAGTCAAAACTGTATTCTACAAGTTGTTTTTCCTGGTGTGACCTAGCTCCTATAATTTCCAAGGAGGTGCAAAAAAATATTTACAAGTTCCTACAACGGCAATCAGCAAAAATTTGCTAATACTAAACTAGTGTTGTAATTACAAGACAATTTCTAGTGTATCGATCAACTGGAATAAGTATTCAATTTTCCCATGGGAGACTATTACACACATGCCATTGGTATTAAAAATGATTCCTTGCTAATATCTTGTTTCCTTACTCTTCAAAATCCAGCTTCCGTTTCCCCACACATTCTCTGCACACTCTGGTCTCCCCAGTAGGTGATAAGTAGTGTATAAAGATAACACCTGAGTTATCTTTATATCCCAGCTTCTCATGTTAAAATCACTCAATTAGTACAGTAAACTCAAAATTGTTCTTTAAAATTTTCTTCCTTTAGTAAAATATTGTTTAAAGTTATACACTAATTTCTCATTATATTTTAACCAGATGCCCCGTGCACACAATTTGTGCATGGGTAGGGTCTATAGGCCTGGCAGGCGATCAGGGCCGATCTGTGGGGTGACTGGCGGTGTGATTGGGGACCCTGACTGGCACCCGCCTTGGCCAGCCCCTCCCTCCCCTGCCCCTGGTTGCCTCCCTCTGAGGGCTGGGGGCAGCTCCTGCGTTGAGCATCTGTCCCCTGTGGTCAGTAAGCATTATAGTGACCAGTCATTCTGCTGTTCCTTCTGCCGTTGGTCAATTTGCATATTAGGCTTTTATTATATAGGTCTGTTACACACAAGAAAGCCAAAGCAGGCCAGAGAGCCACACTGAGTATTGTGTGCTTCATTCCTTAGTATAGCTACTCTTTGCAAAATATCTTGGGATACAAATTTCTTCTTCCCTTAAATTTCTCTCTGCATGCTTAATGAACATATTTAACAGGATTTCACTGTACTGACATAAATTACTAACACCCTACTTACTGCCTTCACTGCAGGTACGTAGATAAAATATGAACTTAAAAAACAGGTTCATTGACTTTAAAATAAACTTGTATGTGGCTTTTTGGAGTGGACATACATTCAGATTTTTAAACATCTATTCTTTCAAGCCAAGAAAGTAAAGGAAATGTAAAAAACAAAAAAGCTGAACACCTATCCTCTGCGAGGGAACATGCAAGTTTAGGACGTATTTGGGACAGGTTAAGGCTTGTTGAACTTGTCACTGGATGCCTAGCCGGTTATTTATCTCTCCTCTCTTGTGGGCACTACCAGGAATTGCGAAGGTCATGGGAACACAATGCTCTGCGGCAGGATCAGGAGAACATAGTTTCAAATCTCCCATGTCAACCCCTCTGACAAAAACAGTCCACATTCCACTGGGAGGTGGGAGAATGAGTCAGTAAAGAGATAAAATAGTTGCCAGTTTGAAAATGCAGTAACTAACTAAAAATGTTAAATGTCTTTTAAATTAGATACTCATGTATTGAAGCATTTTTTAAAAAAGATGGAAATGATGCACAATAAACATTTATTTAAGAAGCCACTAGAAACTAATTATAGATAACATATACTGAATGTTTTGCGTGTGTTGGGCATACTTAAGTGCTCAACATACATTAACTCATGTATACCTTCATCACAGCCATTTAAAACAGAGCAACATCCTCATTCTACAGGACAGAAAAGAGAGGCACAGAATGGTTAAGTAACTTGCACAGGATCACATAGCGAGCGAGGGGTAGGTGGGAAAGGGATATGAATTCAGGCAGGTCTGCTTTAGGACCCATTCTTTAACCTCTATGGGTAGGTATCACTACAATCCATACTTTGATATTTGAAGGGCTTTATGAGATTATTAGCTTTAATCACATATAAAGAAAAATGTTTATTGGCAATTAAGACTGTACAAAATTATTAAAACTAGAGGCCTGGTGCACGAAATTCATGCGCGCGCGCGCGCTTGTGTGTGCGTGAGTCCCTCAGCTCAGCCTGCACCTCTCACAATCCTCCCCGTCGGGGGATGTCTGACTGCTGGTTTAGGTCCGATCACCAGACATCCATCCCTCTTGCAATCTGGGACCACTGGCTCCTAACCGCTCGCCTGCCTGCCTGATCATCCCTAACTGCCTCTGCCTCGGCCCCTGCTGCCACAGCTTCCTCCGGAAGGACATCTGGAAGGACACCTGGAAATTAGCTGTTACACTTTTATTATTATATTGTAGATATTTTCACAACTAACTTTTAAGATCAGATGACTGAATCCAATATATCACTTCATTTAAGCCAATAGCACAACTAATCTAATCTTTCCATGGAATATATATTTTGCCCTTATACTTCATATGTGTAAGTGGGAACCTTTTTACAAAGAATAAGTATGTGATACCATGTCACTTTAAATACTTTGCACTGGCAAGATCTGGGATGTTTTATTCACATGAATGTGCATTAACGTAACACTACTACTTCTCAAATTCTAAATGCAATTAGTCAACAGACATTTGAATACTTAACAAACACCAAGTCTTATGGATACAAAGATAAATTAGATGGTCTCTGCTCTCAAGGGGGGCCACAGTTACGAAACAATGGAAGTAAGTGCTTTTAGGGAGCTATGACCAAGGCTCCAAGGGAACAGAGTTCCACCTAATATGGCAAGAATGGTGGCAGTTCCACGTGCAAAGGCATGGAGATGTAACATTTTCCTCTTAGGGAATAACAAGCAATTTAGATAGAACTAGAATGCAGGGTGTACAAGGCAAGCCAGGGAAACAGTGATGAGAGATGAAGAATGCCGCTGCAGCGAGATAAATGTCTTAGAAGTCATAATAAAAAGACCCAACCATTGCAAGGATCTAAGAGGAACAGTGATGAGATCAAATGTGCTAATGAAAGTGGCTATCACACTTTTTATTTTCAACAACAGAACCTGCACTGAAATGAAATATTATGCAGACTTCCAATTGATCATGTTAACTGCCCTGGTTGAAATTGGAATGAGCCTGTTCGACTTTCTCCAGAAGCCTTTTTCCTAAGTTTCAAAACCACTGCTTTAGAAAGAAGTCATTGTACTAGTATCTTCCCAATCACATTCTATGTACTTCATGCGTCTCCCAATGTGATTCTAACTTCTCAGTACAAGGATTCATCCTCATAGTTCAATTCAATTACAGAACGAGGCATAACTAAAGAGATATTATGAGGCCTTCAAAATTAATAACAAAAAGTTACAATACAGAAAAAGAAAAAATTATCAGCTTTTGTATTCTTGAGTTAAATTATAATTTAAGTGACCACATTTTCTAACCTAAAAGTTAGAATTTATAGTTAGACATAATAGCCAGATTATTCAAAACTCATACAGTATTAGAAATCTAGACCATAGGATTGTAACTAATACTTTCCAAGACGGATGTACTTGAATTTCTTTACAATAACTCTGTATGTGAAAATCCTTCCCCACCTGTCCTCCCATCTTATAAAATTAGGAGTTCTAAAGTGACCGCTGAGAATGACTGTCGCTGTGAAACTGCTTTCTCGTGGCCATCTAATCCGTTCCCAGCAGTAACATGTAAAACTGAGTCAAGTCATGCAGGTCCTACCTAACAATTTACTACTCTTCACAATGAGAAGTACTAATAAGAAAGCAAGGTCACAATCCTAGAGAAAAGGTATTTAATGATGTTTTACATAAAACAACTTGATTTACTTTATACAATCTATTCTAATCTAATCCCTACCATCCTTCCTTCTGCCTTTATCCTCCCTTGTTCCTTGCACTAACATTTTCAGAAAACAAAATTAAAGTCTCAATAAAATTTAAATTGTCAACCCGTTATAAATAGATTAACTTAAAACAATTCTCAAAACAATGCTTAACACATAGTGTTATAGAACAATCTCACTTTTCTTCATCAGACAAAACATGGAAAAATAACCAACAATCACCCTATCATGCATTAAAAGTTCTCTTATAACATGTGGCTGAAGGCCAACTACTGACAATTATTGATATTAAAAGGGGGAAGAGGGGAGAAAAGCAGAGGACATAAATTTAATCCTTCAGTACATCATTTGACCAATATGTACAATACATTCACGTATAAGCATGTTTAAGAAATGTTACTTTAAAAGAAACAATATAAACATCATTGTTAGGAAAATACCATTCCATATGATATCATAAACTCAGTCCAAAACTTAAGCATTCAATGGATCACTGCTGGGCATACTCTAAGGCAGCGGTCGCCTACCAGTGGTCTGTGGACCGAAAGGTTGGCGACCTGCTGCTCTAAGGTAAGGGCGAGTTTCTGAAAAATATTCCATGAATAGATGTTTTTTAAGAGACTGTACAATTACTGTGTTGATTTTAACAATATGTCAAATAAAGTTAACTTAAAATAAATGCTGATAGGATTTTTACATTATACATGCTGTGTCTAACTGTCCACATAGTAATACAAAAATGTTCATAACTTAAGATAAATTATTTTCCTCTAGCTTGTGAAAATTGCAATAAACTTTCTATTTAGAATATTTCTGATTAAACCACATTCAATAACTGAAATTCAAACAATCTCCCAGATGAAATAGTTGGGAAAAATCAAAGAGGCATTTCTATCATTCTGAATGTTCTACAGATGCTACAGACAAGATGACCCAACACTAAAGACTAGCATGGCTTGAATATGGAAAAGATAAATATGAAAGAAAATCCTTTCAGAATAATGAGCAATTTACAGTGTCATCTGTGACTAAAATTCTGAACTCAGCCTTTCTTATTTTTAAATCATTTACTCAAATTTCTGCAGATTACAAGGTCTAAATGCTTTAAAATCCCACTTGGTGGACTTACACATACACATTAGTATTAGGTAATATTTTATGCTTAATAAGTCTAGAAAATATATTTCAAGACCCAATTTACATAAAGCATGTTGCACTGCTGATTGCATTTTACAGAAAAGAAAAACTGGGAACAGAAAAATTAAGTGACATTTAAAAAGTGACACTGGGTTAAATAATGAAATTGAGAACATAAATCAGCCTTAAATTCTAATTAAAATTTCTAAATCATTACCTCTTTTCTCACAGATTTTGGCACAAATAATTTTTAAATGCAGTCTACTTTTTTTTTTTTGCATGTACTTGAACATTTTTTAAATTACATACCCTCATTAATGATAAATCCCAACAATGAACTTATTTACCTCACCGTGCTCTAAAGTTAGTAATCCTTTGAGATAGTCCCTTGGGGTTAAAAAAAATAAGTACTTCTCTTAATATCACATTTTTAATCTTCATTTTTATTCACTTGTCCAACAGAGGAACTAAGAACCTGTTCTAAAAAATCAGCGGCATCAAACTATTCCCTAAATTTTTATAATATTTAATTATTTCAAGAGGAATAAAACTGTGCTCATTAACTTAAAGTTGGGCTCTCAACCCATAGTCAGCATGAAAAAAATTATTTTCTTTCTGTCTAGTGCATGAAACAAAACAAAAATTACTAAAGCTCTCAAAAGATACCTAAACTAATTAATATATCTGCACGCCCAGTTCTTATCCTTTAAGTCCCTTTAAGACTTCTCTCAAAAA